TATAAGTTACTTCTCCTCACTTTCCCAAAGTCTTAAAACATGGCATAAAGGAAACAGTCCTGAGCTTGTTATCATAAGATCTAGGTTCATAATCCATCTTTCCCTTTTACTAACTGTGACTCCTGCTACATCATATCACTTCTCTCAGCCTCAGTTTCCCTATCTGTAAAATGAGGTGCTTAGACTACATGATATCCAGGGATGCTCTGTTTGGGCAGCTAGTTAGTGAAGTGGATAGAGTGTCAGGCCTGGTGTCAGAAAGATTCATCTTCCCGAGTTCAAATCTGCCTCAGACATACTTACTAGCTGTGTGACCCTGGGCAAGTCACTTTAACCCTGTTTGTCTCAGTTTCCTCATCTGTAAAATGATCTGGAGAAGGAAATGGAAAACTGCTCCAGTACCAAGAAAACTCCAAATGGGGTCATGGAGAGTCAGCTATGACTGAAATGACTGAACAACAATAAATGATTCGAACTTCTGTTTCTTGCTGCTGGGGTTCTCAATGCCTTCAACAAACATTTATCAAGCGCCTGCTATATGCAAAGAATTAAAATATACTAGAAACCAAGGGGACAAACAACAGGCAAGGAGATTTTGCCCTGGCTTCAGGCTCAGGAATCCAGGTTTAAGCCTGGGATCTAGCCACTTACTTGTACAATGATGAACAAATTACTTCCTCTCTATTTGCCCCAGTTTTCTTTTCCATAAGATAGAGATAATCCTCATTCTATAGACTTCTGCTCCCGGCCCCCACCAGGCTTCTCACCCTAGAGGTTGCTCTGCCCTTAGGCCAGGGACGGGGAATCTGTGGCCTCCAGGCCCCATGTGGCCCTTTACATCCTCCAGTGTGGCCCTTTGACTGAATCCATAGAACAATCTGTTCTGTGAAATTTGGAGTCAGTCAAAGGAGCGCACTTGAAGACCTAGAGGGCCTCATGTGGCCTCTAGGTGGCAGGTTCTCCACCCCTGCCTTATGCCTTTCTTCTGACGGGTGAATCTTGGACTATATACCATGAGGCAACCAAACTATGCTCACTTCACTCCCATTTCCGCTTTTCAGTCTCCAGATTTCTCCACCTCCTTACCAGCATTCTTTTCTGGCATTCTGTGTGTGCACGCACACACGCACACACACACACACACACACACACCCCACCTGCCAAATCTTCACTGGCTGTCTCCATGTCTGGAATTCTCTCCCTCCTTCCCCATCTCCTGGTTTCCCTCAAGTCCCAACTAAACCCCACTTTCTACAAGAAGCTTTTCCTGGCTCCCCCTGAATGCCAGTGCCTTTCCTCTGTCGTTATCTCCAATGGATTCTATATACATCTTGTTTTACATAGTCATTTGCAGGTGGTCCCCCCCATTATATCGTGAGCTCCTTGAGGAGGGACTGTCTTTTGCCTTTCTTTGTATCCTCGGTGCTTAGAATAGTGCCTGGCACATAGTACACACTTAATACAAGTTTGCTCATTCCAACTTCTATGTATTGGTTCATGCCAGGATCAATTCTATCCATCATCCTTCTGCACCCAGTTCAAATCCCACTTCCTTCATTAAACTTACTCTGACTTGAATCTCAGACTTGGAAAAAGAGCTCAGAGTTTAAGTCAACCAAATCCATACCTGAGTAGGAATACCTCCTACAACATCCCACACCCCAGTGAAGGTTTCCACTAAACTCACTCCTTCACTCCCTCCTGAGATCTCCCACTCTACTTTGCAACAGCCCTGACTATTAGGACATTTCCCCCCTCATATCAAACTCAAATCTATCTCTCTGCAATTCTACCCTTTACTCCTAGTTTTGCCTTTTGGTGGCAAACAATAATAACATGTCTTCCACGTGACTGCCCTTCAGATATGTGAAGATAGCCTTTGTGTCTCCCTTAAGAATATCCTTCTCCAGTTTAAACAGTTCCAGTTTCTTAAACTCATGTTGTACTGCATGGCTTCCAATTCTTTAGCCATTCTGGCCCTGCTCTTCCAGATGGACTCCAATCTGTCAGTGCCCTTCCTAAAAAGTAGTATCCAAAATTATAGTTCTGACCTTCCAGGATCCTACAATGCTGTGAATCCCGTCCCGTCAAATCTCTGTGCCTTTGTTCACCCCATCCCAAATGCCTGGAGGAGACTTCCCTCTGCAAACTCAAACTTTGGTCTGTTGCAAACTCAAGCTCGGTGTGTTGAAGTCATACCTTCCTTCAAAGCCCAACTCACATGCCACTTCCTCCTTTAAGCCTTTCCTGACTTCCCTCTGTTACCCCTCTCTACCCCTGGGAGCAAGTGATCTCTCCCTTCTCAAATTTCTCATAATTCCCTCCTCTTCCTCTTATCGGAATTATCTGGACCCATATGTTTCTATCCATTAGATAATAAGTTTCTTGAAGAGAGAGTGTGTGTTACATGTGTCTTTGTATCTTCTGCATGTAGCATAAGATCTTGCATAAAGTCTGACCACAGGATTTAGAGTAAGAAGGAAACTTAGGGGTCATCTAGTACAACTCCTTCATTTTAAAGATAATTTTTTTTAAAAAGTCCAGGGAGTTTAAATTAGCTGCTCAGGGTCACATAGGTAATAAACTATCGGAGGCAGAATTTGAACTCAGGTCCTCTGATTCCAGTCAGTGCTTGTTACACTATACTCTGCATGGTAGGCACTTAACACAGGCTTATTGAAATTAAAATCTTGAAATGAAATTAATTTGATTGTAATATTGAGTAGTTATTTGAATTTTGTATTGCTATTTGACTTAAAAAGTGGAAAAGAATTTGGAGTTAGAGGAATTAGTTGGACAAGATAATCTCCAAGTACCCCTCAGGTCCCTCACAATTCTAAATTCTAACTGTAAATGCCTTGAGATCACAGGTCAGATCTTAAATTTCTTTTGTCTGTCTCTAAGTGGCCAACATGGTACTAGCCATAAGGTAAGCCTTCAATAAATGATGGGATGTTGCTGATGTGATTTGGAGGCAGAAATTGACTGAATTATTCCCCTAGTGATGAGTGAACAACAATCACATAGACTACAAAGAAGATGGCCAATATATATCCAATCATTCCCTCTGCAAAGAAAGAAATGAATACGTGGCTGTTCTCTAATGCCACATATCCCATACTACACTTCAAGGAACCACTGTGGTCTAAAATCATAGACCAAGAGTTGGATTAATCTTGACAGTCAAGTCAACCTCCCTCATTTTATAGATGAGGAAATGGCCCAAGTTAGTACGTAGCAAAGCCAGGATTCAAATGCAGGTCCTCTGATTCTAATTCTGGTGCTTTCCCTACTACAAAATAGCCTTCCTCCACAAAGGACAAGTTGTAATGGCAACCCCTTTTTGCCTCTGGTGGCCATGCCTGCCAAGCTCAGGTGCAACTGAATCTGGGTGCCATGGCAGCTGATGCATGCACAGGAACTTGTACTATCTAATGCCTCTAGTGCCTATTTTTGTCAAAGTAGCCAAAGGAAAGAGTCAGAATGGAGCCAGGGCACCAGAGACCTGCCCCAGAATACCTAGAGGAGCAGCAGATCATCAGCACCACCATGCTGACCCCTTTGTACCTGGTCTGGCTTCAAACTCATGCTAAAGTAGCCTAGGAGCTTGCTTAAGGAATTGGAGGTGGGGCTCCCTGCACCTCCACCCCCAAGAACTATTTTCAGCCTCACACCTCAGGAGCTAAAATTAGAAATGAACACTGGAGACACAGTCAGGAGCCTGGGGAGCTTGTCTGGAGCTCCATATCCCTGGCATCTACTCATCTATGCCTCTTACTTCTATGGCCTGAGGAAACTCCCATCATTTTACAGATTTTACAGATGAGGAAACTGAGGCCCAGAAAGGTTGAGACACAAGTCTAAAGTCACATTGGCTAAGGCAAGATTCAAACCTAGCTTAATTCCCAAACAGGCCCCCCTCCTCCTTTCCTATCTGCTCCTCCCCATTAGGTGTCCCATGAACCTCATTAAGAAGTTTGAGGAAGATGTCTGGAGAGAAGAGTTTATGCTCTGGTGGCACAGTTTTTTGAGAACACAAGGTCACCTCTATGCCACAGAGAAAAATCTAATCAGGAAATATATTCTTTGGACTAAAGGAAAGACAATGAATTACATTAATTTAGTAACTGAACCTTCTAAGAGAAGAGATGGGATTCAGCCACATCCATGCGACGAGAATGATGACTTGTGAACAAAATAAGACAAAAACAAAAATAGTTGTACTAGAGGCATACATAGTGTTCCCCTGTTTGAAATATCAAAAAAAAAAATATCTGAGAATGGTCTCAAAACATAACATAAATTGTATGTGCATATACACAGAAACTCACATAGAGTCAAATCCTGGTTACTTACTGGAGGGGCAGGAAACAAGAAGGAACCCCACCAGATAGAGAATCCAAGTATTACATATATTTGACTGTGTATTATGTTTTTGCACTTAAGATGTGCCCCAGTTGTATTGATTCTCTAGTACTTCATTCCAGGCAGCAGTCAAAGTTTATTGTGAGGTCCCAATTCCCAAAATCCTAAAAATCCCCTCAGTTCTCCTGCTCTGCTCCACTCCTGACACCTGCTCCTAGCTAGGAAATAATAAGCAATCTCTCAGAGGGATGCGAGGAAGCAGGGCTTTTCTCTACCCCTCCAACCTCTCCTGCCAAAATGAAGTATTCTGGTTTCTCTGTATACAAAATAAAAAGAGGGAAGTAAGATGTGAACAAAACATTGTGTGTGCCACTGATAAGTCAACAATGTCCATGAAACAAATATCTGAGTAGGTACTGACTGTCCAGTTAATCAAAAAGCAAGATTTGCTGGGGAAGAAAATCTCTCCTCCACCACCTCCCACTCTAAATAATCAAGAGCTAACTATATTCATGTCTTAGCACTGTGCTCTTGAAAAATTCAGTTCACCAAAAATGTAATCAACAGCACACAAGGAGCATATTCAGAAATTCTAAGTGGATGAAAGATCTGTACTATGACTCCATCATACTTACAGTACCCACACCTGGTCCCGCCTTCAAAGATGAAGCCATTTGGCACAGCCCCATAACGCCGCAAGTCAGAGAGCTTCCACTGACCCATGACAGCAGGAGGAATGTCTTTAGCCAGCACCAGAATATCATTGCAGAGGTGAAGAGTAGCCAGTCCACTTTCCAGCTTGGTGCCTGGTGCCACAGCCACATGAAACCTGTGGACTATGGGGAAGGGAAAAGATTGAAGTGGCGGGTGGAGAAGATCAAAGGGAAAAAATTAAATCATAACTTCCTCTAAACCATGCAGTCTGTTAAGACTATCAAATGTTTACCTTTCTATAGAATTCTGAAGTTTTCAAAGCACTTCTGTTATAATAGCTCTGACAGACAAGTAGTGCAGGTGTAATTATCACTTATTTTGCATATGAGGCCAAGAGGGATGATGGGACTTGCTCAAGATCACATGGGTAAAATGCGGTAAAGCCAAGACTAGAACCTGTGTCTACTGACCCTGAGGTCCAGTGGTCTTCCCATCATGTTACTGATGAGGCACATAAAATCCTAGATTGGATTTAGAAAGGCTGGTAGCCCTGGTGTTCTTCTGCTTACCTGGAATGCCACCTCCTTCCCTGCATATCCAAATTTTATTCATCCACCATGGTTCACTTTAGGTTCCAAGTCCTCTGTAACTCACCACTCCAACCCATATAAATTCCAAATTTCCCCAAACTAGCAAGACTTGGGCTAGGTTCCCTCTAACATCCTTGTCTAGACATCAAGTAGGAGCTGATGGAAAGTGGATATAGTCTACAGGAGACGTACAGCGGAGTGAGGTAGATGGGACACACAGCTTACCCAGCAGGTCATGTGCCTGGGGACAGCTGTGGTGAACTTTATAGCCTTGTAACGATTCAGAGGCACACAAGTAGAAGGCTGAATGTAACCACAGTCTATGCTTAGAAGAGGCATTCCACTGTTAAGTAATGAGAGCTTCCTAATAGCCATTCACAGAGGAACACTGATGCTTAATGCTATACATTTCCTAACCACTTGCTGACTAATGAAGAAATAGAAAACAAGGAACTAAGAACGGCTTTTGGAGGTTGGCAGATAGAACAGAGCATCTCCCTGGTATCATGAATTTCATATATGTGTGTGTGTGTGTATACATGTATGTATACATATACATATACATATACATATATGTTGTAAGCATAAGACAAGGAGTTAGGAGAACTGAATTATAGTCTCCATCATTCCTTAGAGCACCTGGGTGGCTCAGTGGATAGAGTACTGGTCTGGAGTCAGGAAGACCCAAGTTGAAATCTGGCCTCAGATATTGACCCCGAGCAAGTTACTTTACCTCTGTTTGCCTCCATTTCCTCATCTGTAAAATGAAGATAATAATAGCGCCTGCTTTCCAGGGTTCTTGTGTAGGTAAACTGAGACAATGCTTGATAGGTGCTTGGCACAGTACCTGATACATAGGAGATGCCACATAAATGTAAGCTAGCTATTCCATCAGTAGCTCACATTGTCTGTTACTGGGCACATCAACTCCCCTACCTGAAATTTGAGTTTTCCCCTATAGAAAGTGAAGGGATTGTACTACATGTTTGCTAAGGTCCCTTCTAGCTTTGGCATTAGGTTTTATGTTATGATTTACTGAAAAATGAAGACCAGTCTTTTCTTTCTCTGAACACTACTATATCATTATTCAAACTGCAAAATTTCACAATCAGCTCTCTTCTCTCTTATATTCTTCTATTTTCCACCGATATTAATAATTGTGTATTCTGTGAAGGTAGGAAGCACATCTTCTACTGTGTTTCCCATGGTGACTAGTGCAGAGCTCAGTGAGCACATGCCAATTTAAGGGGTGGGAGTACAAGGGGGAACTTTCTAAGAATTCTCAATGATTCCAAGAACCAAAATGCATCAGGAACCCATGGAGGATGGCTTTTAAACACATCCACTTCTGGTTCCCAGGTTTGTGGTCTTAGAACACTATGAAGGATACATGTTCTTAAAGTAGTCCCTGTTAACATTTGGTGCCAAGGCTCTGGATAACTGCCTTTTAGGAATGCTATAGAAGGGAAGGGTTGGTAGCACTAGATGGCCTGTGAGGTGCCTTCCAAGTCTGAGATTTTACAGGCCAACAGTCCCCCTATAGTCTTATTTATAGTGCTAAGATACTTCAAGAACCCTTTCATTGTGAAGAAAGTCAAGGTCAACCTTAGCTCAGCTAAAGACACCTAATGTCCAATTCTAAATTGCCACTGTCCAAATGAATGAATGAACTGCTGTGAGTTTTTTTAAAGATCCTCTTAAAGGACAGCTCAGCAAGGGCATTTGTCTCTGGTGTCTCTGTGGCAATCTGCTTTCCACTTTGCCTATGTACTTAAGTTTCCTCTTGACCCCCTCCTCCTCTGCTAATGAGGGGAGAAAGACACAATATGGGAAAGTGGAAGGAGCACTAGATTAGATGGCAAGAGAACAAAGTTCCAGTCTTGACACTCTCACTATGGCCTTTGATAAATCACTTCCAGACTCAGGGCCTCAATTTTTTTGCTATAAAATGAGGAGGATTAGACTCTTCTAGGTCTGATATTCCATGTCCCTTCTAGAACAAGCAAGTAACTTCAATTAAACACACAGCATTTATTTTCTTATGACTAAATGACAACACCCAGTGCGCTGAATTGAATACCAGAGAAACAAAGACGAAACAAAGACCCTTACATCCTAATGTGAGAATGAGACAAATACCCAAATAACTACAAGGTACAGATGTGGTAAGGCACAGAGGCAGTCCAGGATGACGTAAAACATTCAAAAAAGTAAGAGCTCTCCCTCTATGAACAAGTGAGCTTCATGAAGAAGGTGGCACCTGAGCTGGGCCTTGGAGGAAGAGAAAGGACAATGGGCACACGAGGAACAAAGGCAGAGACAATAGGTTTACCTTCCCCCAAAGAGTAGCGGATCCGGATATCCCAGGCATACATTGTGTCCTTGCTTTCAAAACCTAGCATCACAGCCTGGGACAGGCAAATGATGGCTAGAGTGTGAGTCAAGCCCTCGTAGAGGAGACCAGGATCGAGGCCACAGATGTCCTCTAGAGTCACACTGCTCCTCTCTTTGTAACCCTTGGCTCTTTCAGATTTGTCCTTGTATACCAACATCAACAGGCAGTCTAGAAATGACAATCAGAAAAGAATGGAAATAGAAAAAGAAGGCTATTAGAGAATGGCCTGTGAGATACAAAGGTAGCAAATATTTACTGAGTATCTACTATTATGAGGTCCTATATTGAGAGCCATGGGAGATACAAACTCAACTTACTAGTTGAGTATATGGACCCCATCTTCTCCCATCCCTAACTTCAGGGAGATTACAATCAAGGAGGGGGAATAAGATAGCCCAAAAGAGGAAGAAATCATGCTTTAGAAAGCTCACCATCAAATAAGGGAGAGAGGGCACATCCAAGGATAACTATGAGTGGAATGTGATAAGTACATAAAAGGTACAAACACAGTGTTATGGGGGTTCAAAGGATAGAGAAATCACTTCTAGCTGTGGTCGTTACAGAAGAATTCATGGAAGAGGTGACACATGAAATGGACCTTCAAGGAGGGAAACTGTAGAGTAGAGAAAGGTGCACTGGCCTGAGAACTGACAGATTCAGATTTCGTTTGGAACTCCAAATGGAGCTTGCCTCCAACTCAATGTGTGATCTTGAGTGGAATCATTTCTTTCTGGACTTCAGTTTCCCCATGTATAGAGTAAGAGGGTTAGACTATCTGCCCCTCTCTCCTTTCCCCTGTTCTAACATTTTATGGACCAATATAATCAGCTCACAAAAATAAAGTCAAAAAGATAAAAAAAAACAACAGAATAAGCTGTTAGGGAACATGTTACATGATTCAGCAAGTAGCACTTAGCATTGCCAATATTTACCATCATCTTCATCCTTGAGGACACTGAGTCACAAACCAAAATCCCAAATGAATCTTCCTAATTGCCAAAATCCTGGCCCGAAGTCTAAATTTCAATTTTATTACATAATCAAAGTTTACTTTTCAGAATAACAGCTAATGGTATCCCTCAAACTAGAACCAATGCATTTTTCTAAAATACCAATAAACTGTGACCAAAAAGAATGGCTCATGAACGTATTCAGCAGACTTTTACCAAACCCTTCCTAAACACCAGTACAGAGAGGGGATACAGAGGAACATAAGATATTGCCCCTGCCCTCAGAGAGTTAACCATCTAGAGAGGGAAAAGACCCAAGGACAAATGATACAAGGCAGAGTGTGAAAGTATATGAAAAGACATACAAAACACTATGTTAGCTCACAGAAAGTAAAACAGAGATACAAATAGCAATTCTTTCATGAATTCAGTAAATGCAGATAGGATATATTTAATGAACAAACATTTATTAAGCACCTATCATGTGCCAGGTAGGTGATGCAGTGGAGAGAGTGCCAGGCCTGGACTCAGAAAGACTCATCTCCCTGAGTTCAGATCTGGCCTCAGCCACTTACTAGCTGTGGGACTCTAGGCAAGTTGCTTAACCCTGTTTGCCTCAGTTTCCTCATCTGTAAAAAGAGCTGGAGAAGGAAATGGCAAACCATTACAGCATCTTTGCCAAGAAAACCCCATCATGAAGAGTCAGATATGACTGAAATGAATGAACAATTATCACATGCCAGACACTGCTAGCGATTCTGCTAGGGACTACAGATAGAACAAAGACAAAGAATGAAACAACACCTACTTTCAAAACCTCAGATTCTAATGGAGGGAAAGGGGCAGGTAAGAGATATAAGTACAGAGTAAATTCAGAATAAATAGAAAGAAAATAAGCCCAAAACACTTAAATACAAGGAAGTTTGGACAAAAGGTTACAGCAATTGAGGGATGAGGCAAGGCTTCATGTAGAAGGTGATATGTGAGCAGAATCTTAAAGCAAAACGGGGATCTGATGAGGCTTCAATATGGAGGAAGTGCACTCCAGGCAAGCACAGACATGGATATCCTATGAGAAGAACAGAAAGAAACCCAGTTTGGCTGGATTGCAAGTGTGATAAGAGGAATAATGCACAATGAAACTGAAAAGATAGGTTGGAGCCAGTTTGTAAAAGGTTTTAAAAACTAAATAGAGGAGCTTCTATTTTATACTGGAGGCAATGGGGGATACTAGAGTCTAGTGAGTAAGGAAGTAACAAGGTGAGATCTTTACTTGAGAAAGACTGCCTTGGCAACTATGTGAAGGACAGACTGGAGTGAGGGACGAGAAGTGGCAGCAGACCATGAGTATAGACAGAAGGAGCATCCTGTCCCCTAGAGAGGCTGGATCTGGGTTGGTGGGAAGAGTGAATGACACTACCAGTGGGTACCATAGCAATGGGCAGCATCTTCCCTCTTCCCCGACCATCAGCGCCTGGATCAAAGACTTATTCACCTGATACCCTGGCTCTGGCTTCTGCCTGAAGGTTGAGAAGGGAGCACCACCATAGATTCCACAGAATCTTTTATTTAAAGCTGAAAGAGACTGTAGGAGAAGGGATTTGAGCTGAACTTTAGAAAGATGGGGCAAGGCCAATAAGAAGATCTGGGATTGAGGATAGGACTACAGAGGGACTCTAGCCAGAAGGATACTTGAAGCAAGAAACCAAAAACAACAGATCTGGCTTCAGTATAGGACACACATAAGGGTAAGAGTGATAGGAGATAGGAATAGAAAGGTAGGTGGGAGCCAAATCCCAGAGGGTCTTCAATGCTACTGATCACAGATATACATCCAAGTAGTCTCTGACCCAAACGTAAAATAAAACAGTTATTTCATTTAAGTCCTTGTTTTCTTTTTATAAAAAGTAGGTTTGAATATATAAGGAACTAACACAAATATGTAACACCAAGAGTCATTTCCCAAGAGATAAAGGTCAAAGGTTTGAACAAACAGCTCTCAAAAGAACTGCAAATTATTAACAACTAAATGAAAGAATGCTTCAAAACACTAAATAAGAGAAATAAAAATCAAAACAATTCTAAGGTTTCATCTGAGATGAGCAGATTGAGCAAACTGACAAAGAAGACAAAATATGTGAAGAGTAGATGTTGGAGAGGCCATGGAAAAACAAGCACCCCAACAGCACTCTGTCAGTGGATATGTGAATTCATCCAACCACTCTAGAAAGCACCTCAGAAGAAAACTAAGAAAGTAACTTAAATGTCCATCCCCTTTGACCCAGAGATCCCACTAAGAGGGGAAAGATTAAAAGCTAGGTCCCAAAATGTTCATAGCAGCATCTTTTTTTTCTAAGTAGCAAAGAAATGGAAACAAAGAAGTACATTAATTAGAGTCTGGATAAATAAACTGTGGTCCATGAATGTAACGCAATAGTACTGTGCAGTTAAAAAAAGAATAATTTGAAGACTACAGAGTAATATAGAAAGATTTCTGTGAATTGATGCAAAGTGAAGCAAGCAGACCCAGAAAATAACATATAAAATAGATAGAGCTATATTAATGGAAAGAAATAAACATTAAACAAAAAAATTATCACGACTCTAGGAACCAAGATTCCCCATTAGAAAACATATCTCCTGCCCTTCTGTGCAGAGCTGGGGCACTATGAGTGCAGAACACTGTATATAATCCCAGATTTGGTTGATGCACTAGTTGGTAAGTGCTCTTTTGGGTTTTTTTTCCTCTTTTGTCTTTTCTCTTTCTCTTTTTTTATCCTTTGTCTTTATGACAAAGAACAGTGCTAAGGAGGGAGAGAGCATACATTTAGAAATAAAGGTGATATAAAAATAAAAGATATCAATAAAAAGTGTTTTTACAGAAAAGTGAGTTTAGGCTTGCATCCAAGCAGGGAGTTGGGCAGCCATACAAGCTATTTGTTACTGAGACAGCTGTTCCTCTCCATGGGAATACTAGATAAGCAGATGTACAAAAATCTCTTTGGCTCATGGACACAGAAGTCACATCCTGTCTACATTCGGAATCCTGAAAACCTTTCAGGAAAACAGAATCCAGCATGCCTCCCACTTCTTGGCAGAAAGATATTAGCCTAGAAGTACAGAATTAAATATTCATTTTCAGACATGGCCAACATGAGGACTTGCTTTGACTAGTAACAATAACACACCTCTTTAAGGTTGCAAAGCACTTTACATATATTATCTCCTTTGAACCTCATAACAACACTGTGTGATAGCTGCTATTATTAACTTCATTTTACAGAGGAAGCAGAAGCCAAGAAGTGAAGTAATTTGCCCACAGTCACTAATCAACATAGTGTCTGAGACATGAGATTCAAACCCATTTCTTCCTGACTCCAAGTAAAGCACTCTGTCCACCAGGCTACCTGGCTGTTTTTGTTACAAGGGAAAACAGTACACAGTTATTGAAATCTTTTTAAAAGGTAGGAAAATCAATAAAACATTAAAAACAGAAAACAAAAAAGAAGTTCAGGAAAGGACATGAGCAGGGCAATTTTGTTACTATGTTAAATTTATTATATACTCAAAAAAACAAACAGATGTTCACTTTCATAAACAATACTCTTTTTTTGTTCTTTCTATAATGTAATGTTCGTGTTGGGTGATAATTGCTAAATTCATAATAGAAAGAAAAGTTTTAAATGAAATAAAATAAAAAGAATACAAATAAAATGAAAAATATTTTTTAAAAAAATAGAATCCAAGGGAATGAACACAGAGTTTTTACTTCTCTTCTGTCCCCTTTAAGATCTGTCTTCTGAATCATCCGAAAGACATTTTTGATCATTGTTGATGACATTCATCTGCAATGAAGCAACAGTAGCCACAATGCCTAGAGAATCATGAGGTTAACAATAACCCAATAAGGGTACAAAGTACATTATTAGCCCATTTCTGTGGCTCAGAAAATCTAAGTAACTGGACCACCATCAAAAAGGTAGTGTTAAAGCCAAGACATGAAAACTTCTAATGTCAAATCCACGCAGTATTCTTTTCATTATGCTACATGGTTTCTCTCTAATGTAGGTTATTTCCAACTGTGGATAAGGGAAGGCTCTGAGTAAAATGTATCCCTTTAGAAACACAAAGAATGAATCCAACAGAGCAGCATATCAAGGTTTAAAATGAGATCATCTTCCCCGTGAAAATGCTAATGGACTCAAAAGGTAGGGAGCC